CTGTGGGCTGAACACAGGATTTAGGCTAGGTACCCCATCCACTGGGACCCCAAATTTGAGCATGGCAGCTGCCCCCTCAGCTCCTGTGAGGTGGAGACGTCACACACTGATTGGGTGTAAGCTCAGCGATCTGGCGGGAGTGGAAGGAGGAAGAAGGGCTCACCCCCTGCTGGCTCTCCCTCCCCGTGGGACTCCTTTTCCTTTTCAGGAGGGGATATAAGCCCGGAAAGGAAAGCCCTGAGCAGAGAAGGCCTCAGCTTGACCTGACCCAGTGCAGCCCTTGAAACTTCCCTCGCCTTCTACCTCCTGCTCATCTGCTTCATAAGCTGTCGCTGTGAGCGGCTGGGGGCTCAAGCATGGTCTGGTACCAGGAAATCCAGGCTGTTTTGTGGGGAAACTAAGGCTGGAATGGTGGAAGCTGGGGGTGAGTGGTGGGAAACTGGATTGGAGGGGGTCATTGGAGGTGGGAAGGAGGCCCGGGAGTCCCCGGGAGTCCCGTTGCCAGCACAACCCTCTTCTCTAATTTACCTCTTTGGGAGCAGCGGTGCGGGGGCGGTTTATGTCAGGCAGGGCTTATGTCCCTCTGACAGATTAGGAAACTGAGGCAGGAGACGGTGCAGTGCCGGAGAACACACGGCAAGCTGGTTGCTGAACCTTGATCCGCTACCAGCCCCAGGGAGAGCGCCGGAGCGCGGCCCGGACGGCAGCCGCAGCCCCCTGCCGTGGAGGATCGAGGCTCGGAACGACCCACACCCCAACGTCACCTTCCCAGATGGTGTCGGTGCGCAGGTCGTGGCCTACCATGGCCACAGTGCTTTTGGCCCTGCTCGTCTACCTGGGGGCGCTGGTCGAGGCCCACCCCATCAAACCCGAGGATCCCGGCGAAGACGCCCCCTTGGAGGAGCTGAGCCGCTACTACGCCTCCCTGAGCCACTACCTCAACCTGGTCACCCGGCCGTGGTGAGCGCAGGCGCGGGGTGGGCCGAGCGGGACCCCTGGGGCTCTCCCCCTGCGGCCCCTCTCCATCGGGGGCGTGGTAGATCTGACCACGCCCTTCCAGGCCCCGCCCCCAGGCATGGGAAGACAGCCCGGACACACGCCTCTCCAAAACGTTCTTCTCAGACGGCGAGGACCGCCCGGGCAGGTCGCAGTAAAAGCGCCCCCGTCAAGTCACATAACATCCTGCCTCCGAGAGTGCGGTCTGGCCCCACCCTGGTACATCACTTACGACGTCTCCCAGGCTCGCCTCCCCAGATCGGATTCCTTTCCCTTCACTCCCGCAGGCCGGAGGCGCAGACCTGTGGTGAGGACCCCCGAGGCCTCCTGGGAGATCTGCAGACCACGCCCACCTCATTTGCATGTTCACTCCCGACCCCGGAAACCCGGATTCCGCCTCCCGACGGCATCTGGGCAGGGATCAGGTACCGCAGTCCTGCGTCTCGGTGCCCTCGCCTCTTGAGCTGCAGGGCTGTATGTGGTCCTTCCCTGGTCCCAAAATAAAGAGCGAATTCCCCAGAAACGGAATGTGTGCCTTTGTATTTCCTTTCCTTTCCCTTCGTGGAGGTCTCGTGGAAGTGGAGGGTGGAGGCGTGGGGACCAGAGGAGCGAAAACCGACTCGGACAGAGGCTGGGTCGGGGGCGGGGGTTCCCTCTGTTGGGAGCCCAAGGAAGACTCGACCACCCAGCCTGGGGCTGGACAGCGCCCAGACCAGGGACTGCTGTGGAAGGAACTCTAGTTGAGTTGGGGCAGGGATGGATGGGGTTCTGGAAGAAGGGGCAGGGAGCGTGGACAGGAGCCTGCTAGGCAGCCTAGCAGAGTAGATGGGGACACGGCTGTCCCTCCCGCACCCAACCCCGTGAAACCAAGGACGGCTGGGGCCGGGCCGGGCACCAAGACCTTGGGGCGCTTCCCTAGGAGCTGTATTAGTAGCGCCCAGGACTGGAGTGACTGGCGGTGGCGTGGTCCAAGATGGGGCTGTGGAGGAAGAGCCGTGTGTGTATGCTGGCGGGACAGGCAGGTAATTTCTACCGTCCCCCTTCCCCGAGCAGAGCAGCAATGGGGAATGTGGAGGCTGCCCGATCGCTAAAAAACCGCCCTGTCTCATCTCGTTGAATTCACACTCAGTGGATAAGTCACTGTGCTGGATAAGTAACTGTGCTTTCCTAGTGACAAGGCCATAGGGACACCCTCCCATGTACCGCCCCCACCTCCCCTGGACTAGATGCTGAAACCTAAAGGCGCTGTGGATGTTTAAACTCACCCTTCTGCACCGATTCCAGAGTCTGCCTATAGGGTGATCTTCCCTGACATCCACCCTTCCCTGCCCCTTTCCTCCAAGAAGCTTGCCTTGATTGCACAATTGCACTCTTCCTGCCTCTCTGGCTGCCCAGCTCTCAGGGCCTCTGCTCTATTCACTGAGAGTTTTGTCTATGTCTCTGTGTCCTGTCTCCCTCCTGGGGCCTCAGGAAGGAAAGGCCTATATCTCCTTCCTCACATGCAGCCTCCTGTATCTATGGGATGTCTCCTGGGCTTCTAGTTCAGCAAGACCTACCCAAATCTGGCAGGGGACTAGGCGATGAGGGGGAGAATCAGGTTGAGGCCAACGCCTTTGACCCAGAGAGGGTAAAAAGGACAGGAAGACTGCAGGCATCCCTGCGTGGACCAGGATTTTGAAGTACTGTTTGCAGTTCCATGGCTCTGGAAGAATAGAAGACTCTAAAGCTGACTCTGCCGTAGCTGCAGAGTAGGTCCCTGCTTGGACACAGGTCCCCAGGGGGCCACAGGGCTCTGACACCCACCCTTCCTTGTGCTGCCCTCCAGCCTCCCTGGAGGTAGAGCTGAAAGGGTGAGGCTGAGGAGGCAGGTGTAGGTCAGTGGCTGTGTGGATTCTGATGCTCCATGCCTTTGCCCATGCCACTCTCCCTGCTTGCAGAGAGCCCTTTCCCTCTCTTCAGCCTGGAAGATACTCTCAGGATAGTGGTCACCTCCTCCCAGAAGCCTTGCCTGATTTCCTGGGGAGGGAGTTAGTTTCTCTGGCTGCCTCTCCCCACTCATTATCTTAGACCCACTTTCCATCCCATTTTGCTGCCTGTCTTCTCTCCTGCGATAGTACAGGTGGGATGGGAGCACACAGTGGCTACCCGGAGCTTCGGCTCATTGTGTGGGTGGGGAGTGGGATGATGTGTCTGTGTGCTGGTGTCCGTGATCCCCTATCTATTGGTCTGCCTGGGAGAGCTGTATTCAGTTTAAGGTGGATGGAAGAGAGACCTGGTATGAATTACACTTGACCGCAGACAATTTCTGCGCAGCTTGACGTGTCTCATTGACCATCAGTGACATGGGTCCTTCTCATGTTCATTTTGAGGAGTGTTGAGCAGTTTAGGGTAATAATAATAACTACTATTAGTATAATAATAATGAAATAGCAATAACTACCTTTCCAAAAAGCACTTATTTATGTTCTAGACACTGAGCTGTTCATTTTACATATACGATATTACTAGGATATTGATTTGGTTTAAAAAAAAAAAAAAAAGATGGAATTAACAGTGACTTAAACAGGATGGAAATTTATTTCTCTTACCTGAAATGCAAGTGACATCTGGGGAGCCGGCAGCTCTGCTCTATGAAGGCATCCAAAAGCCCAGGCTCCTCATTTGTGGCTTCACCATGCCCTCATCTATGTCATTTACAGGACTGAAGACAGCCGCCATGATCTCATCTGTGTTCCAGCCAGTGGCAAGTGGGAGAAGGGAGAGGGCAGGTGCTCCAGTTCCTATGTTGTATAATAAGTTACCCTAAAACTTGGCAGCCTCAAACAACCATTGTATGTCACTCATGAGTTTGTGGGTCAGGAACAGGAAGCGCTCACCTCAGCAGTTCTCACTTTGAGTCTCACATGCGAATACAATCAGAGGTTGGCAGATCTGCAGTTATCTAAATGATCCACTGGGCTGATGCTTGAGAAGGCTCACTCCCATGCTGGTGCTGGCTGTTGAGTTCAGCCATGGCTGCTGACCGTCGTACCTACCTGTGGGTTCTCCAGCATGATATTCTTGGGGTAGTTGGATTTACATGATAACTGGCTTCCTGCTTATTTCCAGAGAATTCGATGAAGGTGGCATTGCTATTTAGTTTGCTAGGGCTGCCATAACAAAGAATCCCAGACTGGGTGTTTAAACGACAGTTCTGGAGGCTAGCTGTCTGAAATGAACGTGTTGCCAGGGTTGATTCCTTCTGATCTATTCCAGGCCTCTCTCCTTGCCTTGAAGATAGGTGTCTGAGCTGTGTCTCTTCACATCGTCTTCCCTCTATGCATGTCTGTTTCTGTACCCAAATTACCCTTTTTATAAGGAGACCAGTCCTACGGGATCAGGAGCTCACACACTGTAGTATGACCTTATCTTAACTAATTAGATCTGCAGTGATTCTCTTTCTAAATAAGGACACACTCTGAGGTAGTAGGAGTTAAAACTGCATCATATGAATTTGGCGGGGGGCGGGGGCATGCAATTTAACTCATAACAATTGCTTTTTGTGACCCAGCCTCAGAAGTCACATGGCATCATACCCCATACTCTGTTCGTCAGAGCAATCACAAGTGCACACATATTCAAGAAGAGGGGACATAGGCCCCACTGTAGAATCACACATGAGATAGGAGATATTTTTGTGGTCATCTTTGAAAAATATAATCTGCCACAGGCAGGCACATCCATTCCTAAAAACCAAAAGGCAGAAATCACTTTAACTTTCAGCCCATTGGTTAAAGCCTAGTCTCATGGCCCCACTTAGCTGCAAGGACAACCTACGAGATGTCTTTAGCTGAGTGTCTGTGTGCCCATCTCCAGCTCTTTGTTTAAAAACATTTTTATTTATAAATGGACTTTTTTTGTTATATAACAAACCTACATATGTACCATCTCAAGCTCTCTGATGATGAAAGGAGAACGTGGATATTTGGGCACCTAGCATTATCCACTAGAAACATGATGTCCTTTGGATGTCATCTAGAAGTCATTGGTCCTATCTCTTCATTGAGACTGAGACAGGAGAATCACTTGAACCCAGGAGGCAGAGTTCGCAGTGAGCCGAGATTGTGCCACTGCACTCCAGCCTAGGTGACAGAGTGAGACTCTGTCTCAAAAAGAAAAAGGAAAAAAAACTCAAAAACAAAAAACCGTCTTGGCCAGGTGCAGTGACTCACTCTTGAATTCTAGCACCTTGGGATGCTGAGGCCGGTGGATCACTTGAGCCCGTCTCTACACAAAATTAAAAAAAAAAAAAAAAAAATTGTGGTGTGGTGTGGTGGCACACACTTGTGATCCCAGCTACTTGGGAAGCTGAGATGGGAGGATCCCTCGAGCCAGGAGGCAGAGGCTATAGTGAACATGATCATGCCACTGCACTCCAGCCTGGGTGACAGAGTAAAAGCCTGTCTCGAAAAAAAAAAAAAAAGCAAGCCATCCCCCGGCTCTGGCTCCTCATGCAGCTTGGACTTCCTTGCAGAACTCTTGCTTCCTCATCTCCACCTGCTGCCCCCACTGCCCCCACCAGGCCCAGAACAGATGTGCAATAAATGACCACTCATTGGTCATTAACTGAAAGCAGCCGGGATTGCAGTCAGACAGCAAGGACCGGGGGTGTGATGGAGGACACAATGCAGGCCAAACTGCTGCCCTGGGTTTACGTATGTGGGGGCCCTATTCCCATTGCTCCTTTACCTGCCTCGTTCACTCTGTGACCTCAGGTGTTTCTGGGGTGTTCCTCTCCTAGGCTCATAGCACTTACTCCATCCCCATCACTGCCAGTGGCCATCCTCCTCGTGCCAGAGAAGGTGGTGTGGGCAGGGGAAGAGGCACCACCATCATATTCATTTAGTGCATCTGTAGGCTGGGAATTGGTGATTTCAGGGCAGGGCTCTGTGGCAAGCACTATGGGAGTTACTGAAAAGGAGTCCTGACCCAGACCCCAAAAGAGGGTTCTTGGAGCTCCTCCAAGAAAGAATTCAGGGTGAGTCCACAGAGTAGAGTGAAAGTAAGTTTATTAGAGAAGGAAGGAAACGAGGGCCAGGCCCAGTGGCTCATGCCGGTAATCCCAGCACCTTGGGAGGCCGAGGCAGGCAGATCATTTGAGCCTGGGCAAAAAACTGAGCCCCCATCTCACAAAATAAATAAATAAAAGGGAAGTAAAGAAACAAAAGAGGGCCAGGTGCAGTGACTCATGCCTGTAATCCCAGCACTTTGGGAGGCCGAGGTGGGTGGATCACCTGAGGTCGAGAGTTCAAGGCCAGGCTGACCAATATGGAGAAATCCCATCTCTACTAAAAATACAAAATTAGCTGGGCTTTGTGGCACATGCCTGTAATAGCAGCTACTCGGGAGGCTGAGGCAGGAGAATTGCTTGAACCCAGGAGGCGGAGGTTGCAGTGAGCCGGGATTGCACC